TATTGTGTTTCATATTTTTTGATAATTCCTGGAAAGAAATTTGAAACTTTGGAATTGATTGCAATTGAACAATTAATCGACGCTTAATTTCGTTTCTTTTTTCATTTTTTCACGAGAAAAATAAAGAAATAGAAGGATGGGTAAGAGGGCAGCACGGATCGATAGAGCATGTTCGCGAAGCCACGCTTTCTCTCCATCCATCCGTGGATCGATTCTAGCATTACCTAGCATTTTGTCTGGAGACCTTGTCGCGTCTGAATTCCAGGAGCGCCTGCTGCAACCTGGCGTTCAAGGTCGAGGCGAGCCTCCTGGCGGTGGACTCCTTGCTGCAGAGGGCGGCGTGGCACCTGAGCTCGGGCCTCAGCCTTCGCCCCTCGTGCCTGTACACCCAGACGAATAGGCGCGGGTGGGAAGCAGGCGCGGTGCAATAGGTGACCCTGTGCGCCCAGTACTCCGTCAGCCCGTGATCCTTGGTCGTCGCGGTCAAACCGCCGTTCGTGACCGTCAGCCTCATCGACACGTCCGGCCTGCTGCTTGTAACGTAATTGCGCCATAACGTCGACACGGGTTTCTCCACGCAGCCCTCGCCTAAACATTGAAACCCGATCGGCCAATTGATAAATTGGAAATACACGTTTTCAGTTACTTTCGTCACGACGGATGTATGTTCTATGTTTTATGTAATTTTTCTTTTTCTTTTTGGTAATTGAGAGAGAGAAAAAATTTGTAACCAATTATTATGATGTATAATAGTTTCACAGTACAGCCTGGTTTCTTTGTGCATTCCTCGCTTGTAACGTTGTTGTTGTATTCAAATTGGGAATCTTTTATCACTGTGTTTCATATTTTTTGATAATTGCTGGAAAGAAATTTTAAAGTTTAGAATTGATTATAATTGGATAAAGTATAATGGAAATCTTTTATCATTGTGTTTCATATTTTTTGATAATTGTTGAAAAAAAATTTGAAACTTTGGAATTGATTGCAATTAAACAAAATGCAATGAAAATCTTTTACCACTGTGTTTCATATTTTTTGATAATTGCTAGAGAAAAATTTGAAACTTTAGAATTGGTTGCAATTGAACAAATTGCAATAGAAATCTTTTACCACTGTATTTCATATTTTTTGATAATTGCTGGAAAGAAATTTTAAAATTTAGAATTGATTATAATTGAATAAAGTATAATAGAAATCTTTTATCATTGTGTTTCATATTTTTTAATTGCCAGAGAACAAATTTGAAACTAGAAATGCTAGAAAAAATTTTTGAAGTTTAGAATTAATTATAATTGGATAAAGTATAATGGAAATCTTTTATCATTGTGTTTCATATTTTTTTATCATTGCTGGAAAGAACTTTTAAACTTTGGAATTGATTGCAATTGAACAAATTGCATAGAAATCTTTTACCACTGTGTTTCATATTTTTTGATAATTGCTGGAAAGAAATTTGAAACTTTGGAATTGATTATAATTGGATAAAATATAATGGAAATTCTTTGCCATTGTGTTTCATATTTTTTGATAATTGCTCGAGAAAAATTTGAAACTTTAGAATTGATTGCAATTAAACAAATTGCAATGAAAATCTTTTACCACTGTGTTTCATATTTTTTGATAATTGCTCGAGAAAAATTTGAAACTTTAGAATTGATTGCAATTAAACAAATTGCAATGAAAATCTTTTACCACTGTGTTTCATATTTTTTGATAATTGCTGGAAAGAAATTTGAAACTTTGGAATTGATTGCAATTAAACAAATTGCAATGAAAATCTTTTACCACTGTGTTTCATATTTTTTGATAATTGCTGAAAAAAAATTTGAAACTTTGGAATTGATTGCAATTAAACAAATTGCAATGGAAATCTTTTACCACTGTGTTTCATATTTTTTGATAATTGCTGAAAAAAAATTTGAAACTTTGGAATTGATTGCAATTAAACAAATTGCAATGGAAATCTTTTACCACTGTGTTTCATATTTTTTGATAATTGCTGGAAATAAATTTTAAAGTTTAGAATTGATTATAATTGGATAAAATATAATGGAAATCTTTTGTATTTCATATTTTTTGATAATTGCCAGAGAACAAATTTGAAACTAGAAATGATTGTAATTGACAAACAAATTATAATGGAAACTTTTTACCACTTCAAATATATTTGTAGATAATGAGAGTAGATTTGTAGATAAAGAGAGACTAGTCGATATTGATCTCCAACTGTCGTAGTGGAAATTTTTCGACGATAAATATATCTCTATAAACGATATTTTTAGAAAATTGTAAGAGAAAAAAAGTTTTGAAACGAGTCGTAATTGATGTGATAATTGTAGAATTATCATAATTATTATATGTCGACTTATTATAATGTCGACATCATTTAAAACATATTTTTATTTTTTTTTTTATCATTTTTTATTTCATCATTGAATAATTACGAAAGCAAGAAAAAGTTTGAGATCATCTGTGACGACGATAAATTTGATAAATTTTTTAATGGTTCTATTATATTAAAGATCTCATTGTACCGCACTATTTACACTATTGCACGTTGCAATAGTTTTCAATTATGATAATAATCCCATCACAATCGCGTAACTATTACCGCATCGCTATTATTATTCGATGTTTCTATGGTGTATTATTTAAGAGTGGCATCACCGAGTAACAGTAATCGAGACAAAAGAGATACGCGCACACGAGTTTCACCGCTCGTTTCCGCGTACAATTACACGTGGTACAACTACACGCTACACAATACCTATTACTTGTATTACACAGCTCGAAACAAAGTGGTCCCTCCCCTCACGGACTAAAGAGACGCGATCTACATAAATTCGCATAAATTCGAACGTACAAAACTTTATTTTATGTAAATATAATAATCCAAACAATAATGAAACAGAATCTGTCTCAAATTTGAACTCTGCTTATTCACTGAGACAATATATTAACTTGCATCATCGCCAATCTTGGAATAAATGACGATCAATTTGTTTAAACTCTACTTAATCTAATTAATATTTTGTTCTCTTACATTTCTTTTGTGTAATAAGCTTTCTTTTGTATTAGTTTTAACTGTTTTTTGAGAAACGTACGAATTTAAGCATATCGAAATATTAGGTTAGGTTTTCGGAGAGAAGATTCTATCGATGAGAGGATCGTTTAGTGATGATTTCAAAACTTCGAATGTAGAATCTTGAAAACGAACGAAATTCATATTGAACAAAAATGGATTGAAAGACAAAGTGGAGGCAAGAATTAGACGTAAAGTTCGAAACGCTACAAGTCCATTTTTGAATAGAATTATAACCTGTAACGAGAAGTGGACAATCGTATACGACGATCTGGACAACAGTTCAGACACTAATGAAAATCCTAAATAAATGCCTAAAAAAGTTACGGCGACTGTATATATATGAGTTTGCAAAAGAATAATTCGTTATTCTTTTCTGAAACAAGGAAATACTATAACAGCGACATCCTACTGCCAAAAAATTAATTAAGAAACAATCCGCATTAGTCGATAGACCACCGTACTCACCAGATATTTTACCGACCGATCATCGCTTGTTTCACCGTTTACACTTGTTTTAAATAAAATATTCGACACTCGAAAAGCCGTAAAAAATTATGGCATTCGAAAAATTTTCTTTTATAAAAATGGAATATTTTGACACTTGAGGAAAAAAATTAATCGAGGCCAATATCTCGTATTTCGATCGAATAAAAATTATAGTTTCGAAAATATATATCGTTTTTTTCCAACCAACAAAAACCGTAATTTTACGTGATGCGAGCTAATAAATCAAGAGAGTAATAAAATTGACACCATTAAAAAAACTCTATTTAAAAGAGAAAAAGATCACCAATATATCGTTCACCTGCTTCTCTTCCACCATTCCACCCCATTCCACTCCTTCTCTTTCTTCCATCGATCCTCCCAACTCTAACTGTATCCCCGTTTCCTGTATCTCTAAATTGGTAACGGCGATCCAACGGCGAATCGAACTGTATCGAAGGTCAGGATGTGTCTGTCCCTCGATTTAGTTCCAACCGTGTGTGTATATTCCGCGCGCGTATGGAGCTTGGAATGTCCAGCCATACGCTGGTAACGGCCATTTTTTCCCCGTCGCTTCTTGGCAAAACTTCGAAAAGAAATCACGCACGTATTTTCTCGCTCCACTTTTAACTCGCGTTAACACGTGAAATTCGCTGGCTTCTTTGAAAAAAAAAAAAAAAAAGAAAAGAAAAAGAACAAAGTAAAGAAGATTATTTATGATGATCGATAAAAGAGTACCGAAAGTTTATTGGCTTTTCTCGTTACATCGGTGATGCGATATAAGCGGAAATATTCGAGACAATGATTCGGTGGAAATAAATATGCAAAAAATTCTCGCGTGCCAAATTCGTCGGTTCGTTCGAATAAAATAATGGTGATCGCATCCGCCATTAACTCGTTACTCGTTTACAGTTTTGGAGAGAATGTTTATTTATAATTCGACGTAGCTTTCTCGAGAAAAGTGTCACGAGTCAAAAATAGGAGAGTAAATAATGGATGCGGTCAAATGTTTCGTAGGAAAGGGATACGTTCGATTGAAATTTTATTCGAGAATTTATAATGATCTTGCAAAACTGTGTATGGGTAAGGTCAATAAACTTCGATTAAAAGCGGTTTGTTGAATCTATCTGTCTAGTTAAAAAAAGATCCCGTTCGTTGATTTGAAAAGGGAAGAACGAAAAGGAAGAAAATCACGCTTGAAAGAAGATGTATATAATAAATAAAAATTTCCTGTTTGTGAAATATATGTATAATGCGATGCACATAATAACAATCGTTCAAATTTGTTAATTAAATTATTATCCGCGTTTTACTTTTTACTAATTAAATCTGTTAATTAAATTACTGGTAAATATGGAACAATTATTTCATATTGTTATAATTAGATCCTACACGTGCGACTTGTCTTTATTATCGGCAACGCGTTAAATTTGATATATTGATTGAAAAAAAAAAAAAAAAAAAAAAAAAAAAAAAAAAAAAAAAAAAAAAAAAAAAAAAAAAAAANNATGAATTAATTTAAATCAGGCGTAGAAGAAATAATCGAAGTTGACGATTGTTGTAAAAGAAATATCGCGTGATTTATTTACTTCTTGTAATTACCAATTATGTAAATGATCGATTATTTTTCACTTTTCAAAAGATCGAGATATTTTATGAATATTAATCGAATACGATTCGATACGAGTTTAAACGAGTTTCACACAGAATTCCTATAAAATAAATTTGTCTCATTATGCAAAAATTTTTTTGAATCTAAAATTATCTTGATCATAAAAAAACCGGCTTGCACGATATTGTTTTTTTCTCTTAAAAAGATTAACCAAGTTACTTATATCTTTATTTCACTCGAGGTTATATCTCATATTTATATTATAATCGAGCGGATAGTTATTTTTTTTATTATTATTATTATTATGTTGCTATATTTAAAATTTTTTGGAATATCACATAACATAATTAAAGTTTCAAAATCGTTCGCAATGATCAATTTGATAAAATCGCTAATTAATCGTCGGTT